TCAATCAATTTCGAGACATCATTATCGTTTTCTATAGATAAATCTGGGCATTGATACAATTCTGCAGTGAATTTTAAAGCTTCCTGACTTTCTTTTGTTATTTCTGAAGATTTTTCAAGAAAATTAACTTCTGATATGAAATTATTATCATTTAAGAGTAAATCATCTTGCACAAGTGATTCAGAATCACTAAAATCTGAAAAATCTTCATAAAAATAAGAATTTAAAAGTTCTCTATAAAAATTTACTTCTTTTGGACATTCTAAGTCTAAAGTTTCAAATTAATATTTTTTCGTACTTTTTGATAATCTGCATGCTTTTGACGTCTGTGTTTTAAAAATGAATCAATAAATTAAGTTTTTTTTTGCTTCAACCCCCTCTACTTTCTACAAATATTTTTTTAATGAGTTTATATTTTAGGAATTTATTACTATCATATAGGAGAACAATTTACCAAAGTATGAAGCCAATCCCAGAACATTGACTTTTTGGGCTGGGGCGATTGAAAAAGAATCTCTCATATATAACGTACACGTAGACAATAACGTTAAAAAAGAATAATTAAATTTTTAGTTTCAGTTGATCCGTTTAAAAAATTCTGATACAACTTATCTTTACTTGGTACAAGCTAGAGTCCCTTATTTCTTTTGGAGTGTATTTTTATTTCAGCAGAAGAATTGTTTTTTCTCTTTCTTCCAGGATTGAAAAATTTATATTACAATTTCAAATGATCTTATCATTTAGAACTATCCAATTTCTTTCAGTATATAATTAAAATTATTAATTATTTTAAAAACATTTTTCACAATTGAATTATCATTTGAGCTCATTTCCATCAGGTGAGATCACTCAGCGGCGCCACTTTCGAAAATTTAAAAATTCATATTACAATATTTTTTTGCTCTTTTTTTGCTTTCAAATGAGATATGAATCAATTTTCCAAAAGCAACCCTTCACGAAAAATCAAACATTAAAATTTTTTTTTCATTTAAATAAATTTTTCCGAAAAATAACCACAAAATATATTTTTTCTCTCTTTTTGCATTCATATGAGATATGAATCGAACATCCAAAAGCAATCCTTCAAGAAAAATTAACACTAGAATAAATTTCCTTAAAGCACATCACTGATACACAAATATAACTCCACCACAATATTATGCTTTTTATTTGTTTTCCAAAGACAGATAAGAATATTCACAAAAAAAAACGTTCAATATAAATAAAAAACTGCAAATTTTCATAATATTAAAAATATTATGCATTTCGCAAATTAAATCCCAAAAGAAGATAAGATTTTAACATTACTGCTCATACAAGACATTTTCTGAACCAATATAAAGTTTGATTCTATAAAGGAAATACAAGGAAATTTCGATTTTTTTAGGCGTCGAGTACTTGACTAACAAGACGTAAAGTGTCACCATATAAAGTTTGGATTTTTTTGCTCATCGATTTATTAATTAACTAGACCTAAACTGTCGCCATATGAAGTTTGGATTTTTTTGCTCATCGATTTATTGATTAACTAGACATAAACTGTCGCCATATGAAGTTTGGATTTTTTTGCTCATCGATTTATTGATTAACAATAAGACAATAAATAATTATTGTTTTTGAAAAAAATAAACAATTACCAATAGTAAATTATTATCTGTAGAGTACATTTTTGTAAAAATTGATATAAATCAGGTCTAAATTAATTAATAAAAACAATGAGCTATGCTTACCTGTCACTTGAGAAGAGTATGATTTTTGGTTAATTTTATTCAATAAAATTTATTATAAAATTTGTTTGTTTAAAACAAAGTGGTAATTATAGTATTTAAATTTGACAATATTTATGTAAGTTAATGCTTAATATTAATTAATTATTAATTATTAATTTGTCTTACATAGTACGGGAAAATTTGGGTTAAATTCAGGGCCAAGAAGAATTCATTTTTTCACATTTTTTTACTTTTTAAAATTACTTTTTCAAAGCACCTGAAAATTTCGGGGTGAAGAGAAATTAATTTTTTCTCATTTTTTTTCTTTTAAAAATTAGTCTTGCAAAGTACGTAAAAAATTGTGAAAATGCGGGGTCTTGTTAATCAATAATTCAATAAGCAAAAAAATCCAAACTTTATATGGTGACAGTTTACGTCTTGTTAGTCAATAAATCGATGAGCAAAAAAATCCAAACTTTATATGGTGACAGTTTACGTCTTGTTAATCAATAATTCGATGAGCAAAAAAATCCAAACTTTATATAGTGACAGTTTACGTCTTGTTAGTCAAGTACTCGACGCCTAAAAAAATCGAAATTTCCTTGTATTTCCTTTATAGAATCAAACTTTATATTGGTTCAGAAAATGTCTTGTATGAGCAGTAATGTTAAAATCTTATCTTCTTTTGGGATTTAATTTGCGAAATGCATAATATTTCTAATATTATGAAAATTTGCAGTTCTTTATTTATATTGAACGTTTTTTTTTTGTGAATATTCTTATCTGTCTTTGGAAAACAAATGAAAAGCATAATATTGTGGTGGAGTTATATTTGTGTATCAGAGATATGCTTTAAGGAAATTTATTTTAGTGTTAATTTTTCTTGAAGATTTTTCCTACCAGGGCCCTAGTAGGGCATAAAAAAACGCCACACCTGTTCTGGGCCAAATTAGGGCGACCAGAAAATGTGGATTTTCTAATCAGGACCACATCAGGCGCGGCGTTTCATTCCCTAATAGGGCAGCCTGATCTGGTTCCGATCTGGGCCCTGGCAAAATTTCTGCACGGGATTCGAAGCTACCAAACTAAGATATATAACACATTTCATCTTAACAACTAACCGCCTCGGCTATTGAGAGCCACGCGAACGAAGAAGTTAATTCCACTGATCAACACTGACCAAGCTACGAACTGCGCATGTTCGGAATTTTAGAAAAAGTCTATTATTCTTTCGTTGACTGCTGTCTTAACTACTTTCTTTTATGTTTCAAACTTTCGAACCTCAATTATTACAATGTTGTAAAACTTTTTTTATAAATTTGACAATCTTTAAACAATATTAATATTATTAAAAACTGTTCAATATAGATTAACAAACTGATCTTTTTATACAGTTTGTAAATAATTTCTTGACTCTGTTTCACTTTTTTCGATAAAGTTTATGCTTTATTACTAAAAAGTGTATGAAACGTTTTAAAATTTGTGCCCCGTCCAAAAGTGAAATACTCAGTTCTCTTCTATTTAAGAATGACAATAGTAGTACTCCAGTGTGTGTTTTTCGTTCAGTGTTCAATAAAGGAATACAACACTGATTCAATAACTCATATTTTCATTTTTTTCCGTGCAGTTTTGTTAAAAGTTTTACGCGAAAATTAACTGAATATGTAAATTACAGTTTCGTTAATAGTTTAACGCGAAAGTTGACTTAATATATGAATTAAAGTTTTGTTTTTATACTGGGAAAAAATATTTTTTTAAAATAATTTTTTAAAATAAATAATAGTCGTCACACATAAAAAGAGGATAATATAATATAATTATAATAATGGAATTTTATTCATACCAAGTCCAAAAAAGTCCTTATTAGTCAGAAGAAATAAAAGATCTTTGAAAAAAATTTTAAACTGGCCATATCAGCAAAATGCTCCTGGGAAAAAAGATTGTCTTTCTATAAAGCAAAATAATGGTTTTCGAGTAACGCATTAGAAACGTTTACTATTGGCTAATTTATCTAAACTAGGTATACAAATTATTTAAAAAGCAGAATGACGGCGTCAAATTAAGCTTTTCAAAATTTTTTCAATTAAGACAAATAATGTGTGATTGCAGGATCTAGTGAAACATATGTGGTTTGTGTTTGCGTTTACCACGAGAAGCTAAAATTAATGATTGATAGATCTAATTTTAAAAGATTATCTTATTTTACTGGAAATCCATTAAATGTGACGCTCCATGGTGGAAGGGACCTTAGCTACAAAAACATGAATTTCTAATTATTGATGTAAATCCATAGATTAGGAGTTGCTCTTTCACATGAAAAATTCAAAAAATTTTTTAATTGTTAGATTTCGTGTTATTATGAATTAAACATGGGCATGTTTTGGTTACGTGACGTCACCACAAGGCAGTATCAGAAATCCAGCCCCTCCACTTTTCACACAATCATACTCGCCTTGTGTGTGTGATTCACTCGCTTCGTGCGACATCGGCTTTTTCAGTAGCGTAACTATACACTCAGAGCCCTAGGAAAGCCAATCATGGAGATTAGTTATTTAAATATTTATATTATTATTATATAATTTTTTTCTCTATTTTTCTTTTTGTTGTTTTTTACAATAAAATTTAATGCTTTTTAATTAAAAATATATCACTTACATTTCCAAAAAAAGCCGGTTTTCATTCGTGTTTTAATTCAAAAATTGGCGCGCATAATATTAAAGCCGAAGATTAACGAAGTAATCTCAGACGCGTCTGACTCACCGATGTACAAAATAGCAATGTAGTAGTAAGGTGGTGGGGCTGAATTCTGATGGAGCGCTCCAACCAATCAGAACGCATCACTTTAAACGCGTTTTCTGTAAAATTTGTCTTTTGGAGCTAAGGTCCCTTTCACCGTGGAGCGTCACAAATAATTGCGCAGATTGTATAAATGTAATTATCTGTCAGAATCCTACTCCTACATGTTACTTAAATGAATGCCACAAATGTCCTGGTAAAGAAGGAATAAAAAAATTGCTGACATTAATTTTCAATGCAAATTTCAAATGTTTTAAAATACCGACCGAACAACGCTAAAAACAAAAGTAATGAAAACAAACGTTTTATTCAAGATTTTCTTGAAACGGTAATAAACCTGAGAACTCATGATTTGTTATGACGAAAGCAATCATCTTCTTTAAACGAATTAAAAAAATTATCACCTCGTTAATTAAAGTGAATTGAAGGAGCCACAACGCGTTATAGTCGAGGTTTTTGCTCGATGAGCCTAACGTATATAATTTTTTGTTTTAGAAAGAAAATGAGATTGGAAAAGGATTTGGTTATTCGTAGAAGCAGACCAACAATGATATCAGCTAAATATCGAGCTAGAGAGGAGCGCCGCAGACTTATGAAAATATCAGCTATTAAACTAAAGCGTATAGAAGATCCTGAAACAAGTTTATGTAGATCAGTTTTAATAAATAATGCAGTCAGAAGATTACAACATGAAAATCGAGATGAGAAAGCAAGGAATTTGAATCTACCAGTTGTTTCTTATCTCCATGGTTCATCTAAAGAAAACAACATCTCCAGAAACATTCTTATTGATGTTGTGGATAGTAATATTTCACCAAGAAAAAGGTAAAGATTTAAAAATTATTTTATAAAACGGCAATGAAATACAAGGAACTATCTTACGTTTCAATTCCTAATTATTTGGAAATCAATTATTTTCAAAAATTTCAATTTAAAGAGACGCATGAATATTCCCCACACTGAATTTAATGGAATTTATAAGGTTTTGAAATTAAAGGGGTCATCTCATATGATGGGTTCAAAAAAACGATTTCTTTAATAGGTATATCGCATCTACAACATGTGTAGAATTGCGTAGCAGAGCAGGTAAGCTAAGATTTCAACATTTCATGGCGTTATTCGTACTTGAATTTTCAAAGGCATTTTCCTCGAAACTCCTTTTTTCAAACTGGCGACCATGATGTAGCAAAACCAACCAACCAATATCAATGTGGAAAACTGTAAACTGGCGCCTTTTTTAAAGTTTTCAAGTTTTCTGTATCGAATTTTAAAAATCTAACGGCAATTTTGAAGTTAACCGAAATTTTCCAGTAAGAATCATTTATTTTTTCAAAATTTCTATACAGAATATTGTAAAATGAAATTTTCTTCATGACTAGTAAAAAATGAAATTAATTAATTTATGTAATCAGAAATCACTAAAATTGAAATTAAAAAAAGCGCCCGATGGATTTTGATGTTTCTTTTTGAAAAATATGCCTCCAATAAAGTTGTAACAAAAATTGATGAAAGGATGTAAGTTGAGGGTTGAAATTGTTTCAAGAGTACTACCATGATATTGTAACCATTTCAGTAGTTTAAACTATAGGTGTTCATTTCATGACTATTTAGCTTCCCCATCATGATACACTTATATTCAAGATTAAAAGAAGGATTACAACTAAAACAGCGATCAATTTTATAAATATTGGTAAAATTTAATCTTTATATACATCAATCGATTCGTTTTCATGCCAGGAATACTATTTTGACAAGAATTAATTAAAATTTCTATATAAGAAAAAGTTATTTCAAAAAATACAAAACACTATTATTTTCAAAAATTCAAAAAAATGATTAAATCTATAGATTTCAGTAAAATATGAACTATATATAGGTTAATCGACTTGTTTTAATGCAAGAAATAAGTTTTTTTACCAAACAAATTGAAATTTACAAAGAAAAAATATTTTGGAAAAAAATTTTTTTTCAAATTTTGAAAAAATTGTAAAAAAATAAAATTTTGTGAATATATTAGGAAATCCTTGTGTCAAATTTTAGGTATTAATGATTATAATAAGCATAAAAAATTTCAGGACAATCCGTTAAAACGTTTCTGAGATAATTTGTACACAATATTTTGTGACATACACACACACACAGATACATCTGGACATTTGCTCAAGACTTCTATATTAATTCTAGATGAAAATGAGTCCATATAACCCAATTTTAAAAAATCGAAAATCGTCACGAATGCAAAGCTTCCTCATGAGGAAGAAAAATGTAAAGAAGACTAGAGCATTCTATCAAGACTAAATTTATATTATTTCAAATATAAAAAATTATTAATTTTAAATAATAGGAGAAAGTAGGGTAAGGCGAGAAGTGTTTTTATTTATCTTCATTAAATAAACATGAGTAATACTTAAGAAATAATTCAAAAATTTGAATAAAAAAACTTCTCTATTAGTACAGCAAGGCCGATTTTGTCCCAGATTCTGGTCTCGGCTAAATACCTACAGTCGGTAACTGATCGGTAATGCAGATTTCTACTTTATCAGCAGTCGACAAGATAGGGATCTGACTGAAAAGAATTTTAATTCGACTGATAAAGTAGGAATCTGTTTTACCAACCGAACATTGAAGTTAGTTTACCGGCCTTGTTTTACTACTTTTTCAAATACTTAAAAACAAATGATTTACACAAAAATGAAATCAATCTGATCTAAATGTAAATAAATGTTTGACATTTCCCGCCTTACCCGACGCCCCACTTTACCCCACTTGCCCCTAATATTTTTTTATTTTGTTATAGGTTAAGCGATACCGAAAGAACTGACAATTCGAAGAGGCAAAAAGATAGTGATATTAATCTTCAAGAGGACGTATTCAGTGATTTTTATATCCTTCCCTCGTCACCAAGATTATTGCCTCAATTCGATAATATGTCAGAAACGCAAACGTCAGATTATAGACCGATTGAATTATTTGAAAATAGACATAGCATTGAAACTTACAATTCTAGTTACAATCCTGTCTACAACAGTCACAGTACTAATTTAGATAATTCCGTATTTACTTCTTTAAATAATTCTCCAAGAAATAATAACGTTGACATAATGGATATTAATGAAATTGATTCGGAAAGAATTTGTGGTTATGCAAGATTCACTGATTCATCAAAAACACTTGAAGAGCATTTAGTCGAGCTACAAACTTTAGATGATCAATTTGATTTAACAAAATTCGAGCGTAATAATAATCAAAGTTGTGGTAGAGCTTTCCATGATATTCAAACTTTTCATAGTCTTGTACCAGGATTGGAAACTTAAGAATTTGAACAATTTGGAACGATTTTACCATATTCTATTAATATTTCACCAAGTGATAAATTCATGATACAATATTAATTAGAAATTATTTTTTTGATCTATACTTAAAGCAATTAATTAATATAATCATATTAACCAATTTTAATTTTAAATAATAATTGATGCAATTAATTTAATTATATTATTATACAGTTGGCATTTTACAATTGGTTAATGTTAAATAAGTAAAGCCCATGAAGCTTCCTAAGTGGAAAAATCACTTCCGTTTTGAAATAAAATCGTTCAAAATAACAGTAAATAGTTACAGCATATATAATAAATAAAAAATACTATTATTTTGTAAATCTATAAAAATATAATTAAAATCTTTTAATTTATAATACAATACCAATCTATTTTTGAAATCTGAAAAGGAGTATAGTTTTATTTGCCAGTTGGAAAATAATTTTTTTTTACTAATTTTCTTTTTAGTCATAAAAATGAGTCAATACAGACGAGAAAAATGTTGACATTATTATAAAATTAAATTTTTCAGAACACAAAATGTATTGCCCGAAAAATTATTCTAAGAATTTAATACAGATAAGATAATTTTTTAAGCTCTAATAATAAATATAATGGAACGAAAAGCCATGCACGATTTGCAATGTCTGTTATGCTATTAAAGATTAATAAAGTTAAAGAAAAGTTTTATTTGCACAGTTTCAATCTAATGTATAAGATACTCAATTTTTAAGATTAAAATGCGCATAAATAATATGAAATCGTTGAATTTGTATTTTAAAAGGTTTATGTCTATGGCATTTGTGAAAAAAAACTTTTTTAAATGTCTTTCAAATTAGGGTAACTGCACCAGTGGTGGATCAGTTAAGCCCCTTAACTTTCTTATTTTGACTTTGAAGTTCTGTATAGGTTGCTTTTAGACAAATTCGAGGTTATTCTTTATAGTATTATGGACCAGATAGTTCCAATAGACATTTCCTTCAAGGTTAGATTTGATTTTGACACCTACGTTTACTTTAATGCTCCATCAAAGATAATTTGTCAATGATCCTATTCTGGATCACTGTTTGCACCAGTCATGGTTATAGATTGCTCCAGTGGTGGATCACTTAAAAAATCATACTAAAAAACATTGCATTTCAAAATTACGAGACTGAGACGTTTTGCAACTTTTATAAGGCTTTACGGACAGATTTTCAAATTCACTTTCCTATCCATATCCCCTCCTCTTTCATTTCTATAGGTATAATGTGACTAAATGTTAATTAATCATCTTTTTATTAGAATTTTTGCTAATAAATAAATAGAAACTCTTAAAGCTTCAGTTAACAATTAATAAACATTTGAATTAGTGTTAACTAAAATTTAACTCATAAAATTTTCAATAAAACAATGCGTCAACAGGCGAAAAGTAGGACTGATCCACCACTAGATTTTGTTACTTTTTTGGTTCCAGTCGTGGATCACCCCAAAACAATGGACACGCGCTACTTACAGACGTAAATATTGTTCTCAGGGCTCTATGGGGATGAAACGAAATGCCTCCTATTGTGAAAAGAATTAAAAATTGTCCTAAAATGGCTCCAAAGCTTTCTATTCCAAAATATACTCTTAACTTACATGCTAAGGAAAACTCTTGTTTTCTGTCACCACTTTAGTAATTGTTGTCCTGCTTTCTTCGCGATGAATTTAAAAATTTTTTTAAATTGTAATATTGATCTGTATAACTTTCTTAACAATTACCGACACTTGCGGTTAATTTACTTACAAACGTGTAAACACAAATGACCATTTTTCTCGCAGTTGATCCACCACTGGTGCATGATCCACCACTGGTGCAGTTACCCTATTTCATGTAAAAGGCGATGCTCTGATTTTTGAATTTTGTAATTATGCGCTTATTATTAGTGAATTTTTAAATTGAGACCCTTAGATATGTGTCACGATTTTTGTAATTTTTAAAAAAATTTCGTGCAACCTGAGCTATTTTTTCTAATAAGGTGTCTATTATTTTTTGTGTTAAATTTGTTAAATGTTCATGGTTGTTAGTCGTTTTTTGTACTTTCATCCTTTTTTTCCTGACATTTATTTTTAAAAGCAAAAAGGCATCAATCGCATTTAACTTATAATAAATAATAAATATAGACATATATTTTTTTTTTGCTATTGTTGAATGTGATTGTTGCAATTCCGTTGTTTTTTTTTCTTGGGAAGAAAAAAATTTGTAATCTTGCTTGTGTAAAATAATTTTTAATAAGAACAATGAAATAGTGTGTATAACATAAATAATATAATGTAGTTGACATACATTGGAGATTAATAATGTGATAATCAAACTTAAAAATTTAAACGACATACTTGGATTTTTAATAAAAAAGAAATTTTCACATTATAAAATTTGTAAATATAGTAATGAATTATTAATATCAAGTAAGATAGAAGGCTTATTGTCAATTTATGAGTTTTAAATTCTTGAACAAAAATTTAACATTGTAAAACCTTTATATAATATGTGTTGTAAAAAAATTGTATAAAATGTATTATAAATAGTAGAATACACGAGATTATAAACTTGTGAAATAAAAATATATTAAAAGAGTTTCGTCAATAGGACTATTAATTCCTCACGCTCCATCTTCCCCTATTCATAAATTAATGTATTATATTTTTTGTTAATTTTTCATTTAAAAAATGAATGTCAATATTATTAATTAAACTTTATTTAAAAAATAAATAACAATTGTTTTTTATTCTACGAAATTTGTATCAAATGTAAAAATTTTGTTTTTGCTTTGAATTTCAAAGTATGTCTCCATATAAAATGTAAAGTCTTGCATTATTTTGTTGCATCATGCGTCAATAGGTATTATTTTCTTTTCCTCACTAATTTTTCTAAACTTATCGATTTTAAACATATGTTTTTTACTAAAATTATATTTCTTTTCTTTAGTAAAAATAACTTATTTTTTCCAAAAACCTTATGATGCAAGATGTGTTGATGAGCGATTTCAGTGAATTTTTTGAAATTTTGTCCGCCATATTGGATCCACCAATTTGAATTTTGAAAATTCGATTTAGGATTCGTTTATCACTAAAACTCCCGAATACTAAGTTTCAATAGATTTTATTCATTTTCAAGAATTTTGAAAATATAATGTTCTTTAAATTTAAATTAACTTACTACAGATATTTGTAGCTGAGGGTCCATTAACGCGATATTCTGAGTTTTGAAAAGAATTCTTCATCTTTTTCTTATTAAAAATATGGATAAAAAGAATTTTTTTTTCAAAAAATCCTACACTACGATAGAAACTACGCTAGTGTATTTCAATGCAGTTTTTTCCACTGATCCAAAATCTGAATGCAGAATCGTCAGATTGGCTTAAATTTTTGAGATAATCTTAATCCTTCGTCTGTAAACGTGGGTCATTTGTGTTACGAGGAAAAGAGAAACGTTGGTCTAATACCGATTTCCGATTGGCTGAACAGTTTTTCGGTATTGGTCCAATAGAGGCGACCTCTGTAGTATAATGCATGTTGCTTTAATCTCCCCTTGTAAGTTGAATTAATTTCTTAAGTTGCCGTAAGGCGAGAGTATGTTGATTCATCTCACCAAACGCCGTTGAATCAACATACCACATGGCATAATTGAAGTTCCTGATTTTAAAAGGGCAAATGCGCAATGTATATCGGTTGATGAAGATGCCCTTTTAAGATCAATCAAATTAATGATCAATCAATCCCTTTTAAATCAAATTAATTCATACTTATATTTCAAGAAATGACTACTTTTTTAGAAAAAAATTATTTAAATCATATAATTATAAAAAATTTTAATTTAAAATTACATTTTATATATAATATAAAATTAAAACTGATTAATTAATACATAATTATGTAATGTTTACTTTATATTTTCTGAATTTTTTAATTAAAATTTTTTTTAAATTTATTTAATTTTAATTAATTAATTAATTTAAGAAAAATAAAATTATATTTTATTAAATTAAAAAATAAATATTAAATTAATATTTTTTTATAATTATAATTTGTAAATAAATTTAATTAATTTAATTATTAAATTAATATTAATTAATTATTATTATTTTTATTAATTTAATTATTTACTCGAGTATTGCGCATGCGCCAAGCGACAGACTTCTGCTAATAGAGCAGAATCTTCTTCTTCTTCTTCTTCGATATGTGGCTTCGTCGTAACAGGCCAATTCTAGATACAAATATTCTTTTCACTTAATTTCACTTGATACAATATATTTCACGTAGTATTCTTTTCTTTTATAAATTTCTTCTAGCACCGAGGTGTTTAGTCGACTTCCAAATTATTGCTTGTAGACCTTTTATTTTGGGGTTAGGTTATATTAGGGATTAGTATTTCAGGAGCGTATCAATTATTCTCCGGCCCTGTTCAATATCAATTAATCAGTTTTATCCGATTTTTAACTCTCTTTATATTTATCTGGATAAATTATTCAGTATCCTTTCAACCAGTACATTTCTAACTTAAAATTTATAATTTACTCTATTATTTTAGTCATTCAAATAATCATGGCCCTTATCATTACCGGATCATTACCTTATCATTACCTTATCATTACCTTATCATTACCCTTATCATCTATTTTGACTATTCTAATTTATATTTTTTTTTTATTTTTTTTTGTTCCTTTCCTTTTCTTTTCCTTTTTTTTTAAATTTTATTTTACGTTTCTACCCCATACTATATAGATAATCAAACAGGAAACCATCTACTTCCACCACTCTGTCCCCAGCTTCTTCAGACTCAGGCACCCTGAGTCATCAGAGCCGTTAATTGACAGCGGTCGGAAAAACGAGGGCCATCCCTTTGGACCGGACCAGCCCATTCCCTAGCACTTGGGCTAGTGGAGGCTGCCCATGTCCTCCGGTTGATTGGCCTCCCCACAATTAACAGATTAATCTCAAAGTTCCCTCCCCTCCTTAAAGTTAAATTCTCTTTGGATCTGATAAATTAATTTCTTTCCTAATTAATATAATCCCTCCACCATTATTTAAAAATATATATATTCTCAAAATCTTTTAATTTGTTTATTTACATCTAAATCTATACTTATCTTTTTAACTATAATAATCTTTGAATTCATTCCTTCATTCCGTCCATTCATTCATTCCGTCCGGACCCCTGCTGGGTTTTCGGTGACAGAGAAAAGAACAAGTTATGGAGAGAGAAAGATATATCTTTATTTTGCAAATGAGGGTTCACTTGACCTGCAATCTTTTAAAGAGGATTAATTAATAACTCTGAGGACCCAGGTAATAATTTCTTTCTGTCTTTATCACGTAAAAAAACTATAAAGAAAGTCTAAAACTAAATAGGTAACGCATACCTTTCTTTCTTACACCAAGGAATATAACATAAGTACTTCTTCGTTTAACATTGCGTTTCTCTATCTAGACAATTCAAAATGGCATAAGAATATCTTCGTCTAAAATCTTAATCTTCTTCCTTTTTGTTTTGAAAATAAAAATAAATATATATATATATGTGCATACCTGTATTAGAGTCCCTGAAAATTTTAATAAAAAAATTTAAAAATTATTACCTAAGTTCTCAGAGTTAATCCTTATCAACAAAGGTTCTATTATCTAAGGGTATTGTTCCATGTAATAAATGGGAGAAAAGAAATTATTACTTGGGTCCTCAGAGTTAATTCTCATTGATTATTTAACAAAGGTTCTATTGTCCAAGGGTTGCTTTTTTGTGGTAATTAATCCGGGGTTTTAATACAAGTGTATATATATGTATATATGGTATCTGTAATGAACTACTGATTAATCATATAAGAGTGTCCTTTTGCACTTATTGGCTGATCAGTAGTTACTCATTCATAGTTCTCTAATTCTATTGGATATTGGTAGTTGTATTGGATAAAAGGCAAAATTTGTTATATTGAATTAAAGGCAAAATTGGTTATATTTAATAAATGGCAAAATTTGTTATATTGGAGAGAGTGAGCGAGAGGATTAAAGATATTTAGATTTTCATGAATCAAAAATAAAATTAAACGAAGTATACTATGGCCAACATAAAAGAGTATGTTATTTTGAGTGATGAAGATTTAAAAATTGTTAAAAATAGAAATAAATTGTTAAATGACATGCATATGTACAAATTTGAAGATTTATTAAGAAAAGATTCCAATTCTTTTTTCAATATGCAAAGTACTTATACTTTTATAGCCTTAATGAGGGGTGTTTAAATGTGCATCAAATGAAATATTTAATTAGATTGTTCCCTTTTAAACCAACAGTAGTTTTTGTAGTTGTTGATCAACAACCTTTTGGTAGTGTTGAGTGTGGAGTATATGCAATAGCATTTGCAACATCTATATTTTTTAACGTAATGTCAAACAGCGTAAATTATGAAACTGATAATAACAGAATGAGAAACCATTTAAAGTCAATGTTTGAAAATAATCGCTTAAATCATTTTCCGTCAATAAGAACGTCTCACAATAGGAATTCGATAATAGAGAATGATTGGAACCGTCTTTTCATAAATCGAGCTCAGGAACTTAAAAATAATATTTTGAACCCTTGTTCTGTTTTAATACTTTTCCCAGCAATAATATTAACAGAGTTCTATTAACACAATATTTAGAAATTAAACATTCTCTAAATGACACTAGTGAAGAGAAAATAATTCGTACAACTAATAATAATATGAACAAAATTTCACCACTTGAATATTCAGAAATGAAGTATTTTCTGAGTGAAGAAATTGATAAAAAGATAATTCTAGGAATTAAAGAAAAGGGAAGGCAACGCGCGAAGTTACATATGAACAGAAAATAATTAGACAAGAGAATGGTAGATTGAGAAAACGTAATCGTAATGAAACAGAAACAGAAATACAAAAGAAAGAGCGCAAAAAAAATTTGACTTGCAAAAAAAGAAATTATCTATAGAAACTAAAGATGAAAAGAAAATACACAAGGATAAAAATTTGGCATGTAGGGAAAGAAAAATATCAATGGAAACTCAAGATGAAAAGAAAGTGCGTCAAGAAAATAATTTGTCATGTAAGAAGAACAAATTTTCTACGGAAACGGAAGATGAAAAGAAAGTGCGTCAAGAAAAGAATTTGGCATGTGAAAACGATAACCGAAATAAAAAAGTGTAAGAGATGCAATAATGTCTTAAACTTTTCAATAAAAGTAAGGTTCCACAGAATTATTTAGGTTTGATGAATGTAGAATGTAAGTTTTGTTATGTGTTACATTTTCTGTGTGAGAGACCGTCACATAGATTATTTAGTAGTTGCTGTCATAAGGGAAAAGTAAAGTTAAGCGCCCAAGTAGCACGGAATATTGGTTGATTGTAACATTGATATCAAGTGGGAATATTCCCGTGACATTCAGGCGATATCATAATGTCTTTACGGGGACATTCCTCGGTGATATTCACGTGTGATTCGTATGATATTGAGGGAATATTCCCGTGAAATTTGTGTGATATTGAGGGAATATTCCAGTGATATTAATAAGATAATTTATAAAATTCTAACAAAATTTCAATTTTTTTTATTGATTTATTTGTTTAATTAAATATTCAAAATAAACAACATTTTAGAATTTTCTAAATTACAGGAATATTGTCTCAATATCACAGGGATATTCCCTTAATATCCCAGGAATATTTTCTTAATATTGCGTGAATTTCACGGGAATATTCCCTCAGTACCATACAAATATCACGCGAATTTCACAAGAATATCACCGTAGAATGTCCCCATGAAGCGGACATTGTGATATCGCCTGAATGTCACAACAATATTCCCGCTTGATATCACCTTGACATTCAAGCAATATTCCGTGCTCCTTGGGTGGTAGATTTAATATGAAGAAATTTTTTGTAAATTTCTAATATTAAATTTTTTGAAAAAAAAGAAGTGAATAAAGATATGGTTAATGCACACGAGCAACGTAGTCGGCCGCTTGCGGACGACAAAGTTGCTAGTATATTTATAATTATTATTGTTAATTACATAACCCATTTATAGCTTTTGTTTAAAAGTCCAAAACTTCAATATATTCACTCATTTATTCTATCATCTTGCTATCAGTTTCCAATTTTAATTGTTTCTTAAATTTGTTTTAACTATATTATTATTCCCTCTACCCTCAGAAACCTTCCTATCTCGGTAACAACTTGCATGTTTGGATTGTATATAAGTGAATCCCATTGTGTATCAGTCATAGGAGTTGATTTGAATTTCCGAGATACAAAGTTCCTGAAGGCATCTCTTCCTTCTTCGAACAGATCACATTCAAAAACATAATGACGTAGGGAGCTGATTTCTGCTCCACATTTACACTCTGGTGAGATATTCCAATTCATTCTCAGGAACTGTTCTCCAGTGCATACGTGACCCGTCCTCATTCTGGTTATTAAATTTACGGTAGATCTCGGCAAGTCGTATCCCCGGAACCATGGTCTCTCCGTTTTTTCATTTATATATTCGAAATATTTTTGTCTAGTTCTTTCTATTGGGAAAAATGGCCATTCTCTTTTTTTTGTTGCTTCAAAATCTCTATCGATCATTTTTTTAATATCAATCCTATTTGGTTTCGATTTGACGCCTGCAAGGAAATTTCCTGACATCTTTGCCAATCTGTCAGCTTCATTATTACCTGATATTTGCGAGTGAGAGGGGATCCACACCAATCGTATGTCTCCTCCTCTCATCACTTTTGTTCTTATCTCATCAACAATGTCAAATATTATTTTGTCAGAGAGAGAGAGTCTGTCAGTCTGTTTTGTAAAAGAGTCAGTGCTCTCAACGAATCAGTACATATCACCGCCCTGTAAATTCCCATTGTTTCTATGCACTTCAGAGCTAGCAAAATAGCATTTAGCTCCGCAGATAGAGCCGAGTAACAGTCAGTCAGTTTTGTCCCCTGTCTATATCCCAAAGATGGAATAAAAATACCTGCACCTGATCTACTTCCCGATTCCAGATAGGATCCGTCCGTATAAATTACCACGTAACCCTGAAATTCCCGATCAAGAAACCCATCTAACACTAGTTCCGGAGAATCAGCCATTCTGACTTCATATCCTATCTCGGTATCAAAGAAAGGCTCAACATCATAAACCACATTAACCCAATCCTGGTCGAAATAAGCTGGTCGTTTCGGGATATCTAAGTTTTTCATCATACTGTTTATTGGGTCGATATATATGACCGGAGGAAAGTTGCTTGCATACTTCGGGTAGTTCTTTCTATTTTTTGCCCTATGCGAAATGTTAATAAGACTCTGTCCTACGGGGTTACCTGACCAGCTACTCAATCTCAGGGCATTTCTATTTAAGTGGAGGGATCTCCTCAAACCCAATGGGGACTCACCTGCCTCTGATAAGAGGATTGGGATTGGTGTTGTTCTCATACAGCCCATAGCAATGCGAAGTGCACTGTTCTGGACTTTATCCAATCTTCGCAGAGTCGTTTTGTTGGCGCCTGCTATTAGAATCGAACCCCACTCCAGAAGCGCCCAGGGGAATCCTTTGTAGACCATCAGCATGGATCCTGGATCCGCTCCATAAGTCACCTTTGCCAGCGTTCTAAGCACATTTAGTGATTGTGATGCTTTCCCCTCAATATATCTTATGTGGGGTTCCCATGTGAGTTTACTATCCAAAATTACTCCAAGGTAAAAAAGTGTTGGAGTATTTGGAATTGTCTCATTTTCAATACTGATCCCCTATATTAAAAATTCCACATTTGTTCTACTAAAAGTACAGAATTGACTCTTAGTCGGGGACAGTTTAAATCCAAGTCTTTTAAGATACGGGGTGATCAAACTGGCCGCCTCACAGTGGCCGATTTCCCGAAAAACCTGGCCAAAAATCGAAAAATGATACGATTTCAATCAAAATTGGTATACCCATGTTTTTTGGGCTTCTGAATTCAAATTTTACATTGGTTGTGTCAAATTCAAAATGGCGGATCCAAAATGGCCGTTTAGATTTTAAAAAACTTTGCTGAAAATCGAAAAATGAAACGGTTTCAATCAAAATTGGTATACCCATGTTTTTTGGGCTTCTGAATTCAAATTTTACATTGGTTGTGTCAAATTCAAAATGGCGGATCCAAAATGGCCGTTTAGATTTTAAAAAACTTTGCTGAAAATCGAAAAATGATACGGTTTCAATCAAAATTGGTATACCCATGTTTTTTGGGCTTCTGAATTCAAATTTTACATTGGTTGTGTCAAATTCAAAATGGCGGATCCAAAATGGCCGTTTAGATTTTAAAAAACTTTGCTAAAAATTAAAAAATGGTACGATTTTAACCAAACTTAGTATACTTACGTTTACTGGGTTTCTGAAATCAAATTTTACATTTGTTTTATCAAATTCAATATGGCGGATCCAAAATATTTGCTGGTATTATAAAATTGCGTATATGTGTTAGAGTTTATTTTTTTTAAATTACAGAATTTTAGTTTAAAGCGAATGCGAATGAAGAAAAAGTCAGTCTTTCACGTTCAGTTGCACCGCCGGCCGTTGCAACGCGCTGTCGGTAAACCGCGCTGGGTGAAATAAAAAGTGATACCAAAACTGCAGGGGCAGCTTGGGGCAGCTGATTTCAATTAAAATGAATCAAAAATATATTCTAGTTTATGATAATACCAGGTAGGGCGCGGATATCGGTGGATTTCACAACTATTTTCATGATTTACGTTGATAAAACAATACAAAAATCGTAGCCATGAATAGCGATGTTTAATGTCATTTTTTAAAAACTGTACGTTTTAAATGTGATGATAAATACATTCAACCTATTTCATACACCTTTGTTAATAATTCCCAAAAAAAGATATTCAAAAATCTGCTGTATATTAGTATATTTTCACTATTTTAACTGTGACGAAAATTTATAGTTATGAAACGTTCTGAGTAAATCTCTGGCAAAGATCACTTTTACTTGTTCACATAATAAATTGGTGATAAAAAAAGTGTAATTTTTTTCGCAAAATTATGCAGTGAACCCTCCTTTATAATATTCAATAATAAAAAGTATAAATTTCTAAAAAAAAATTTTTGACTTTTGGCCAGGTTTTTCGGGAAATCGGCCACTGTGCGCCTCCTCTATTAGAGCCTGGCCCTCGTTCACGTTTCCGTTTTCAAAGTAAGCATAGAGGAGTATGTCATCCGCAAATTGTCGTATCTTCACTCCCTCCGGCAGTGTTTCTTGAATTCCTCTTAGTGCTAAATTAAACAATAGTGGGGACAATACCCCTCCCTGCGGGACACCCACTCCTCATTCTCGGCTCGGCGATTTGTCATCAAAGGATAAGTGCCTCTTCGTGATCATAAATGAGACAAAATTTATTATCCTGGTTGGGGCGTTTACTCTCTCAAGCTCACCCACCACCTCCGCCGGCAAAAGCGCATTGAAGGCCCCTTTAATGTCCAGAGCCACCGCCACTGTACCCTTTCCCTCTGTGAATCCCTCCAGGATGTCCGATGCCAATGCTATCACACAGTCCATTGCAGACCTTTCCTTTCTGAACCCAAATTGATGATCAGGAATCAGGTCATTACTCTCTACAAAGTGTTCCAACCTGCAGTTTATCATCCTTTCCATAATTTTGCCCGGGGATGGGGTTAAGGACACCGGTCTGGTACCCTTTCCTCCTGGTTTCGGGATAAATTTAACCAGCGTCCTGCGCCACATTTCCGGATACTGTCCTGTAATAAAACATTCATTAAAGATTCTAAACATAATATACAGATAATCCCTTGGTAATTTTCTTATTATTTCATAGGAAATTTGGTCTATACCCGGAGCAGAGTTTTTTTACACTTTTTAAGAGTAGAATAAAATTCTTTCTTTGTGAATGGCTAATTATAAGGATCCTCGACATTTATTTGGGTATTGATTACATGCGGTATAGGTTTAACATCCTCTCTCACTAATTCATCTTGCAGTCGTTTTAATTCTTCTGAACACAGATCATTTGTGTTACTAATATTAGCCGCTCTCTTTCCCGCAAATGCTCCGATGAGGCCCCATATTCTTTTGACACCCATTTTTGGGGAAATTGAATTACATAATTCCCTGAAAGATTGTTTTTTTTGATTTGCAAGTATCTTATTAGTTTCCCTTTCAATTTCTATATATTTATTTAAATTATTTCTATTCGGGTTTTTGCTATATTCTTTTCTAGCCGTTTTTTTCTTTAGCGCCGCTTGATCACATTCCGGGGTCCACCAGGATGGTTTAACAGGAGAGAAGGTTTTATTGTTACTTGGAATATAAGCCCCGGAATCCAACAGACCTTCAACTATCACTTTCGTAAATTGTTCATATTTTTTTATACAATTCAATTCAACATTTTCTATTTCATGTTTTCTTTCATCAAGTTTTACATAGAACCCTCCCTATTCCACTTTCCCAATCCGTAATCGATTCGAACTGGTACACACTGTATCCACTTCCAGAAAGATCGTCAATAAAACCAGGAAATGATCGCTTCCATACGCGTCGTCGGTTGTTTTTGCATAGCAGGTAGTTGCCAATGTCGCCGACACCATGCATAGATCCAATATCCCTGCCGTATCATTCCCTGGAAATTTATAGGTTGGTGTTCCATCATTCATTAATACCAATTCTTTCTGTTCTTGGAATTGAATCATCATTCTCCCCAATCGGTTCGAACGGGTCACCTTAGGTTGATCCGTCTCAAAGTTCACAAAATGGGCATTAAAGTCCCCCATGACAATAATTTGACCGTCATCAGGTATTTGATCGAACATTTCTATCATATGGTCAAGTTTGATTTTAGAATTGGGAGGAATATACACTGATACAAAATACAGAGGACCCAATTGCGAATTCAACCTTACCCCGACCGCCTCGCAAAAATTTGACCAAGATCCTTTCAAATTTAGATTGGAAAATACATACTTGTTCCGAATAATAAACATTGTTCCCCCTCCATTAATCCCCTGTTCACGGTCCCCTCTAACTACATTATATCCCCTTATATTCCAATTTTTATATTTCAACGAAAGCCACGTTTCCGATACCGATAACAAATCTAAATTATACTGATAAATGAGTGTTTCTATTTGGGTCTTTTTTTGTAACACACTTCGTGCATTCCACGTAGCACATTTGAAAAGGTTATCTTTATTTTGTTGTGGCTGCATTTTTAAAATAAAATCGAATTTCAATATATTTATTTCTATTTCTAAGTAATTAATTAAACCTTTTAATCCACTTCAACAATAATATTGCTGTTATTCTCTCTTATACCTAATTATAACTTATTTTATTTTATTTTACAGTAGTTTTATTGTTTTAATTATTTTATTTAAAAAAGATGTTTTCTAATTATACTTATTCAATTAGTTTTTATAGATTTTTTAGCTGAACTAATGAGCACATTTATTAATTACTTTAAGCGACCTCGTCAGTGGGATTCACTATATTCGTAATGTCCATCGGGCTTGCCTCTTTCGAGCCATCTTGAGTGGTGTTTTCCTCTGTTTGACATCCCTCCATAATAATTCCATATATTTTCGTTAATTCTTGATTTACTCCCTCTTTCGCCTCTTTATCACTGTCAAATGTTTTTGAATAGATTCGCTTAGTTGTTTGTTGATTACTTTTTCCTTCTTCCCTTTTCCCGAAGTTTTCCCTGTCCTCTATCATCTCCTCATCTGATTTTTGGGTATCTTTATTCTGATTGGCAATTTGTTCGTTCTCTTGCTTATCGCTCCTTTGTTTATCTTCGGCTTCCCGAGGTGGGGATTTCGCTCCCTGACATTTGATGCCTTTTCTTTCCAATTTGAGTCTCGCTTCTTCCTTTGTACAGTTACTCAAATATCTCTCCTTCATCACCTCAAATTCATATTTAAAAACCAAGCACTGACTTGAAGACGCCTTATGATTTCCCGAGCAATTGATACAGTAATCCGCGGCTAGGAAGTTGTTACATTCATCTGTTGCGTGCTTGTCTCCACAGAATTCACACGTATTATGTGTAGCCCTGCATTGAGAATAGACATGACCAAATGCCTGACATTTATGACACCTTTTCGGGATCGGAATTGTGGGGGTGATGTAGTGGGCCACTCCGTATATAAAAAGTTTTCGCGGAATTCTTTTTAGTCTAAAAGTAAGGTCAATGATGTCTTGTGCGTTACCGCCCCTTTGGAACCTCCTACTGGCGGAGACCAAGAAAGTTCTTGATTCATCGTCCATCATCTTGACGACATCCGTGACCGAGTAATATGAATCTACCTTGATGAATCCTTTTTTGTTCATTATTCCCTCCGGGATAAATGACCTATAACCGGTACCCTTCAAATCTTCCGATTCAAGCAAGTAATTCGCATCAGCAATTTCATCACAGTACACTTTTATTTGATTTTTACCACTAATATAAATTTTCCTTTCCCCCTCCACAAAATCACTAATAAATTTCCCTATTGAGATCGGGTCGAGCCTGCCTAAATTGTGATCTGGTATTGTTGACTCCATCAAAACCAGATACGGTGGGCCAAATGATTCACTATAAGATTGGTTTAAATTAAGTTGTTGAGCGTCTCTTAATTTCCACACAAGTCTAGGGTTTGCTATACTACTCATGAACTGTTGTCCCCCCTTACCGGCTTCATTACCCGTTTGTTGGCTATCTTGACTCTGTCTAGGAGAACTTGTTACAATGTTAGTATTATTTGGATCTGGGATCTCTAATTCGCGAGCTAATTCATTATTGGTTAAGCCCGTGATAACACTCCTAAATTTCTTTTTGGTTTGAGTAACTCTAGAAATGTTTGGGGAGGATGTTGTTGTTTGCTCTAAATCCCGTTTGTTATGTCTGTCTTGTATTTCTGTCTGAGTATTAGGTAAGTTAAGTGTATTTTTCTCTAATCTTGTATATAGTTTCCGTGTTGTGTTTCTTAGTCGATCAATTGAGTTTGAAAATTCATCTTTATCCTTCTCCTTAATTAATTGTACCTCGTCAGCTTTAGTTACAACAGCAGAGATACCCGGCACCGGAGACCCGGCCCGCCCCAGCTTCTCTGACTTTATCTTTATTGCGCCTTTTCCTCGGCCCGCCATTCTCAGCTTATATTTACTGAGACTATCCAGGGACGAGTTACGACTGCTACCGGAGCCCTCCTTATTTGGCATTATCCCAGCTGGTATTACTTTAATTGATCTGTAGAAAATTCAAAATTATATAAATACTTAATTTATTATATTTAATTTATTTTATTTTATTTTAATTTATTTTAATTTATTAAAGCATGTTCTTATCATTAGTTCAAGCTATTCTCTTTAATCAGTCGTAATTTTATTCAGTCAAGCAATTGTTTAGATACTACTTTTATTTTACTTTTACATTAATCTAGCATTTAAATATTTTGTTATCTATTTTACACATGCCTGATAGCAAATAGACAGACAATATTGAACTTTAATTATTGTTCTGTCCGCAATCAATCTGTTTTGATTCTATCTATTCATTTATATTTCCCAGATATCATTGATTTCAAAAGTTATTTATTGTTAATTCTAAGTCTCTTCAGTTCTTACAAACCAAATCAAACCAAACAAAGCGCAAACAAGGTCAAACCAAATAAAGCTCTCAGATCAACAATATACCATTCCAATAATATTATCTTTCAAAGATCCCTCAAATTTATCCAGTTCTGTCCACTCAGCCATTAAATCAATTTTACTCATTAATATTCTTGCAAATCAAAGAACAAAACCGTAGAAGGTGTGATAAGGTGTAATGGGAATTGTTTGTGGACAGGCCAAGTGCATCTAGATGGGATTAGCTAGGTAAATTTGGTGTACTTAGTGTGGTCCTTATTTTAGGAAATACCGGTGTAAGCAATTACATTCTCTCCTTCTACTTGCCGCTTGTATCAGGTCTTCTAAGCAAGCTACAGATCAGGCTTCTTTGGTTCTACTATTTATTTATTTTAGAGACTTACTTTAATTATTGTTATCTGTTATTATTTCTCTCAGTTATCTCTTTCCTGTTAATATATCTGGAAAGTTTACTGTTTTATAGGTTAGATTGGCAGCCACGTGATTTCTCCTAAGTAAACGACTTTAAAAGTCCAATTGTTTAAATTTGATTCCAACTTTTCACCACTTTTCTATCGAATTATAATATCACTATTTTATTTCATTGTTTGTAATATCACAATATTTTATTTATTTCACTTGTAACGTTTATCTGGTATAGCGTTATTATTAAACGCCTATTACTTTTCTCTATCACATCCTTACTCACCAAATGCTCGATTCGGTCCTCTAATAGAGCAGAATCGTGGTATGTTGATTTAACTGCGCGACCTGTGTCAATTCAATGCCAACGCTGTGAAGTAGGCCCAGTTTGTTAAATCATCGTTTCTCTTTTCCCCGTGTGCTGTCTTCACCTAAAAAAAAGTAACGTAGGAAAGAGTACTAACGCCCAAAGGTTACGATCCTACTTCCCAGACAGCACCGTTTTTCGCAGGGAGTTCGCGGGGAGTTCCCCGTGTTAAGTTCGGAAACTAAGTTGGGGAGCTTCAGGGGAAGTTCAGGCGAGCTCTATATGTCCTCGGTTTTATAACTCGCGGTGCGAAGTTCAGGATAGTTATCCGATTAAGTTTGCCGAAAAATTGTGGATAAAAGTTTAGGAAATATTACATTTTGAGTTTTACAGAAATTTGCTTTGTGAATTTCTTTAAAACTATCTCCGGAAAGTACTCTAAAGATATATAGACAAATTTCCTGTAAAATTAAAATGCAAGTTTTCAGTGAATTTTATAAGGTAAGTTTATTATAAATGTTTTATAATATTTATTAAATAAAAGTAAAATTAAAAAAATTTATTTTTCCCTTATTGCGCTTTCTTTTATTTTTCCCCAACATTAACGGCGCAATTTTCGGAAATAAATTTGGAGGAGCTGGGGATTGAACCCGGACGCGCAACACAACAGCCAAGAACCCTAACCACTAAACTAACCAACGACCTGAAGGTGGGTAACTTTCGGGTCTTTATAATCTGCAAGCCTTG